GCCCCAAATGTCTAGAACCTAGAAAAGCATGCAGACAGACTAGAGCAGCCGGTTGCCATACTCCCAAGCTGCCCGCAAGCTAGCACAGCTTGGATCCGGCCAGAGCAGCAGGGCAGCTAGGTACGAGTTTCACATGCCTTTTGCATTATTTCTGAGAAGAACAACTATGCTGGAGGGTATGGCAGGCGCATGACTCGAAGCGAATTGTGTATAGCCCGACTGGGCGCTTTGCGCCCCGCGGGGGAGTATCGTTTTCCCAACAAATATGACAATGATACCCCCTTGCAGCGGCACAGACTCTGAAAGGGTACTGGTTGTAATCCGAGTCAGTGGCCCGACTGTAGAACTACTTGTGAGGCTGAACGTCCATCAACACAAAGCCAGGCTGGATCATTTGAGACCTTACAACGTGCGCAACCCTACAGCGCATATGCAGGTTGGATCCCTGCCCTGACGCCAAGTAACAGGGCGCCCCTGGATCCTGAACACGCCCTGTCGCACTACAACAAAAAATACTTGTTCAGCCCCAAGGCCTCAAGTGCATTCATAAGTGCATTCGTTGCGCGAAGATCTTGGATTCCACAAGCACACAAAGGTAAGGAGTTCAATCACCCACCTTGCTTCGAAGCTCGCTCCCAACCTTCCTGTCAAGGTTGGCTCAGGACGCTTGGTGAAAAGGCTGAAACTTTCTGCAACATACAGGTCTTGGAATCTCCTTGTAGCAGGTCGCGGTCATGTCTCCGAAGCAGTCTCTGCATGATCTCTCCAACCCATAACTAGAGGCGCGCAACGGCTGCGCGTGTCTCACATGTTTCATCTTCCTTCCTTTACACGCAGCCACTCGAATCACGAATGCGCAAATTACTTCATGTGTTGCAAGCTTTGTTAAAGTGAAAGGACATACGTGTCTCATGTGGAACTCCTCCACTTCATGCATAAGATGTCTCAAGCAGAATCAGAACCTTCGTACATCAAGTCCGGCAGTTTCAGTAAGACCACTTTTTGAGCAAATAGCCCTCTTGTCCCTGATTTCCCAGCCATTCAGCGGAAATCCACGTGGTTTCAGAGAGACATCGGCCTGCCTGAGCTCTTCCTCTATGGTCTTCCGCTGGTTGGACAGCTTCAGCCTTGTGCAGGTGGCTTGGCAGCTATGCTCCCCGAAGCTTCAGTTTTAGGTTCGCCGACTTGGCCAAGAAGCTTGGACTCAACAAATGCAGAGCCATGCAAACTGGGCTGGCCATGGTTGGCCTGTCTGCTTGCAGCTTCACGTTCAGCCGCTTCTGCTGTTCAACCTGCTCGAATCTCAACTGCTTGCAAACAACAAGACCAGACTCTTCCACAGGTTGCAAACAAGCAGAGCCACAAGAAGTTGTCAAGCCCAGCACCAAACCGCACCCCATCAGAAGCTGCGACACAAACTTTGCAGAAGGAACTAAGGGATGCAAAGAAACCTCACTCCCCACCTCATCCCTGGCACCTTTCAGCCTAAGCGGAAAAAACAGCTGCAATCTCAAAATCCTTTTTGAAGCCCTGAAGCCTTAAGCGGTGCGGCCGGCCTCCATCTTGGCCTTCTGCAAGCGCTCCTCGATCTCTGGGCGCACAGCGCTCTGGGCGCTTTCAGCCTTTCGCTGCACCTGGGCTATGGAGGGATTCTAGGACTCTACTAGGAGCTCGAAAGAAGCCACAAGGCTCAAATCTCAGGTTTAGAGGTCTCACGGGTTGCATCTCATGTTTCTGATCTTATTCCCACTTCTGATCGGGCAAAAATTCTGGAACTGGCCAATCTGCGCCTCGGCTGCATGCTCCAGTCCTTCGCTGACGCGCTGCAGCTGCTGTAGTTCCTGGCAATTAGCGACAATCATCATGCAAGTGTCAAGGTTGGCAGGTCTTGAGAAGTTCTGGTTGAGAAAACATGTGCACCACTGAAAGCAAGCAAAACAAATCCTCTGCAGCACTGGCACGGCGCAACCTGCTAGACCCCTTGGCCTGCACTACAGCAGAAAGAAACAGCTCTTGAAAGCCCCGCAGAGCGTGTCCTTCCGTCGCTCTGCGAGGAGGTTGTACAGCCTCGGCCAAGTAGCATATGTGCAGAGCACACCAAGGCCTCTTGCATGGCAATGGGCATCGTGTTTTAATGCCAACCCATCGGGCTGATGCGTCCCAGCTGCGGGCCTTCTGCCCACCACAAATTCTGCGGAATGCCCGCTCCAAAAACATGTAGGGTGTCTGGCTTTTGTTCGGGGACTGCGCCAACCAGCCGACAGGGCCGACAGTCGATAGGCGTAACATTGTCTAACGGTGTCGCGGAGCCCACTGAGAGGGCGCAGCAACGCCGCAACAGAGTCGCGCACTGATCACGCGCAAATTTCAATCTGCCGAAGTGCTCCATGCCATGTGGGAAAAGGAAGCAAAGCCGTCTTTTTCTCTCGCCCGCAGCGTAGCAGCTCGAGAAGTGGGTTAGCAGCAGGGCGAACTCTGCACGCGCGGTCGGCTAGGGTTCACAAGCCGAGCTAATTCAACGTCAGAGAGTAAAGAATTCATCGAGGCAAGGATATATTACTTTTTCAATTTCGCGAGTCCCAGAAGGCGGAAGGTGTGCTGAAGGGTAACGGGAGATGTAAGGTTCAGTGAAGGCAGGCCCGTGCATCCACTACCAAGCCTTACAAACCATCCAAATGTGCTTAGGTGCCTGGCTCCATAGGATCCTTGTCGCGGGAGTCCCAGGGGTTGGACATCTGACTGTGTCGATCCCGGGACTCCAGCTCCTTGCTTTTGAAGTGCCGTCTGCTTGTGAATGATCATGCACGAGAAGCTAGAAGGCGTATTGTATCGCATGCTGGGACGAAGAAACCTAGCACTGCTTGTAGCGGTTATGGTAACGCGACTCTCACCTCAGGTTTGGAGGGGTAAAGGATGTGGAATTCCGAGCACTTCAGCCTTGGGATTGAACATGTCCAGTACAGGTTGGACGGCAATGCGCGACTTCCACAGTCATCCACACGGTGGGTGCATCGACGAGCCTGCCGCATGCGTTTGATTTCACGCCGGAACCACTCCGCCTGAGCATGAAAATTGTATCAAAAGGAATTCGCCCAGCTTCCCCAACATGGACACAGGGCATCATGCACAAGGCTTCACGACTTCCTTTCCTGCTAATTAGATCAGTGGCTCAGAACAAAGAGTCTGGAAGCAGGCAACTATTGTCTAGAGAAGTGCTGCCGTATGCTACAACTAATTTGTGCTGCACAGGCAGGCAGCGTGCGAGAACGAGGAAGAAGAGAGTCCCAAAACATCAATGGCCATCTTGTGCCGCCGTAACATTTCTTTCATGAGCCCTGCACTTAAGCACCTTTTGAGTCCGACCGAAACTCACCCGTTAACTCGAAGGACCTTCTCCAGGGCTTCTTCCAGCTCCCTCTCTCGCTCCGCCCGCCGCGGATGCGGAGGCCTTGCCATAGGGACGCAGAACGCGTGGAAAAAGAGAGCGCGACAAAATCATCTTGCAAAAAACATAGGTTGTTTCTCTCTTCTGCACTGCCCTTCTTCGCAGGATTTCGCAGGTTGTCTCTCGGGCACCGACCGTGGTGCCAGGGGCTTGTTTGCAGCATCGCCGTGCAGCAAAAGCCGAGCCTCAGCAGCCCCGTGGCAAACACACTTCCAGTCCTGTGCAACCCCTACCGTGACCTCATTCAAGTCACTCGCAAAAAGGTATTCCAGGTGCATTCGGAATTTCATAGGTTCATATATATATATATATAGGATCAACACAACGCCAGCGCGCAGTGCCAGTTCCAAAGCATCAAGGTGTATTTGGTTTGCTGAGTAACGTGAAAAGGAGGCAAAGAAGTTGTGGTTGGCAATTACAACTTCAAACTCTTGCGCAGAATTCAATCATAGCTAACCGCATCCCGTGTTCCGAGGCCCTCTCGCGCTGCACAAGCTGTTCTATTTCAGCTCGGAGTCGTGCGGCTTCTGCCTGAGGATGGCAGGCGATTTTACTCGTGCCAGCCTCTGCAGTGTGTGGCATGTTGGCATTTTCAAGAAACGAAGCTCAAGTTCCATAGCTCACCTGCAAGCTCATCTATTGCTTGTCATGGGTTGTGCTGCCTGCAGGCTTCTTTGCACAGCACCCCGGAACTTCCAGTTTTACGTGAAGGGTTTTACAGGAGCACGCCAAGCCTGTGCGGGTTGGATTGCAGTGAAGAAGTGAAGATTGCAGCCTAGCCCAGAAGCCAACTGTGCCTTGTGCCACAGGCTGTTACCGTCGGGTAAGGCCAGATGCTTCTTTACGGACAACCAGACATATTGCGACCGGCTGCCTGATGTCTCTCGGCTGCCTCCATGTTCGCCATCGCTCGAGGCCTGAAGTAGCCTGCATGCTTGCGTTAGCCATGTTAATGCAGGCACGCGATTCACGAGTTCGAGATTGCTGGAGAGCTTTCAGCTCTGGGAGGATTTGTTTCTGACCGGGCGGCAGGGGTGTTGACTCTTAAAACACAGGGACGGTGCCAATGAGTCATGAGATGCGAACAGCCAGTTGCTAGTTGGCATCTTGTAGCAGTTTGCTGCGGGTCTGACAACCGAGGCGCAGACCACAACACACATGCTCCTGATTCCTCAGCCTTACAGATGTCTTAGGGCTGAAAATGATCAGAATCGACCTGGTAATGACCGTGTGAAAGAATTCTTGTCTGGAGGTCTGCAAAGTTTGCCAGCATGTCGGCGGAAACCTTGTGCTCCATCCACTCAAGCTAAACGCTGATCAGCCAGCTTCAGCCGCAAAATAAATCAGTGAAATGTTGCAGTCAGAGCCGTAGTGTGATAGTCAGGCGTAAAGGAAACCTACCACCAAGAGCTCCAAGGCTGACGACATCTATGGACCTTTAAAGCGCTGACGCTTGCTCTTTGCTCCTCATTTGCATCTGCAGCGCTTGTCGAAGCACGTCGAAGCGACTTCCCCCTTTCTGAAAGGCGGGTTGCGCATGTTGCGCAAAACCCGCTCAGCCTTTTCGCTTGGCCTCGGCCGAATGCAAGCAATTCCGAAAAATTGTTTTCGAAGCTTTTGAAGAAAAGGAGAGACAGCAAAGATCCCATCATACCCTGCCTGCTCGTTTTCCTGCATCATGGCATCCTGCACTGCAAGGGCGTCATCACGTTTCTGAGTTATATGGATATGATATTCAGAATTACAAGAAGGTCAGAAAACTTATCTGGCTCAGTAAGTTCAGTACAAAACAAGCCTTGGATCCTGTATCAAGGAGCCGAGGAAGTGCACAACAAGCAAGAAACCTAAAGCCCAACCCTGGATCGGTAATCAGGCACGATGCTCATAATCTCCCCTCATCATTTCAACCCTCGACGAGATATGACACCATGCTTTGCAAATGAGAACTCCTGAGCACTGACGTTTGACTGCGGAGCATCAATCCAAGCCGTCGGAGGTCCTGCTCCGAGATGTGATGGAGCACAGCCCTTTTGCTCGACTCCTGGCATTCTCGCTGCAGACCAATTTCGTTCTGGAGTTCTGAACTAGATTGGCCAATAATGGTCCGTAGCATCAAGCTGCATTCTACGTACAAGCGATGGGTCTGTGCGTAGAGGTATAGGCCGAGACGTGGTGAGAGAGATCCTGCGGTTTGGGCCCATTGAATCGTGGACCTCCTCTGTCCGTCCCCCAACAAAGTTGACACGTGCACAGAAAGTGGCCTGTATGAAATGACCTGCACCTGATGTGTTGCCGTAGTCCAGCTGACACAGGCTCAGAAGTGAGCATTTACCCAGTAAAGAGGGCACCTGAAGTTCTCCACTAATCAGGATCTCGTCCAGAATGTAGTATGCCTGTCATGTTACAGCTTTTCTGGCATCAAAACTGACTTGGAATTTGTGACAATGTATCTTTTAGGTCAAAAAGTAAAGCTTGCAAAAGCCTTGTGGAAGTTGAATATCAGGTCCAGCTCACAGACGTTGCCAAAGTATCGGTCTAGGCACTCTACGAAGTGGTGGACCTCAGTTGGCTCTGCGAGGAGGTGTGCCAGGCTCTTTATTCTAACAGAGCATAGGGCATAGGCAATCACCGCCTTTTTGCTATTGCAACTCACCTGCATGCTGAGTCCCAGCAGTTTCCAACGCAAGCAGCTCATTGTCCGTGTTCTCCACGCAGGCTATGAAGAAGAGACTGGCACGACAGAGACGTGGTGATGGATCTTGCATTCTGCGTATGAACCCTTTGGAAGAGTCAGAAGTAGTATCCAGAATCCAGCCGCATCCAGTGGAATCCCTTGCACTTTGCTTACAGCAGAACCAGACCAAACTTCCCAAAAGATTCAGTGCTGAAAACGAGAACTCTCCAAGCCGACACCGAGGCCCGGCTTCTGGAAAAAAAACAAGACACGCACTGACACGACACCCAAACAGACACAAACGATCACAAACTTTCACAAACCGTCGGCAAAGCCTGGCATAGCGCTTGTAGCATAGCTTGTAGTCTCGCCACTCCAAGAAGTTGCAGACCTGATGGCTGAAACTCAACACTTGTGCTTCGGAAAGAGTCTGTCAATGGGCAACATGTGATTCCTATGCACTGTAAACTGATCAGATTGCGTAGAAAAATTTGCTGGCATCAACGCATGCTGCAGCTGCCTACCAGACGGTGCGGTTTCTTCCCTTTAGCCCTTAAGAGCTGAATTGCACATGTCAACCCACCACCTTGAAACGGGAATTGCATGATATGTAGAGAAATGAGCTAGTTGCCACAAGAAGGGTCAAATCTTTTCCATTCTTTTCCCCTTGGATTGACTCCATGCTGAAGCTTCAAGCCCCTCTGTCAGCCGAGCTCCAAACCTTTGGAGATCTGTTGAGGATGAGGCTGCTCACCTGCCGAGCCACACTACATGAAGCAGCGGAACCAGTGAAGAAGCCGCAATCCTTGCAGCAACACGTGGAATTAAGAAAGATGCCCACGGCTACACGACAGCTGCAAACGCATTGACTAAGCTGGTGGCCATAAATAGAAAAGAGGAGACGAAGAAGGGCATGGATCAATAACAAGAGACAGCTCAGAAACAAACAGGCATGACGAAAGGCCAAGCAAGTGCTAATCTATCAACGAACACTCAGCAGCGCAAGATCGTCGACAACCATGATGCGACATGCACGGATTAAGGATCAGCGCATGCAGAAGCAGCACCCTTCAAACAGGTAACGGTTTTGTGAGGGGATCCCTCCCAATCCACTCTTCCGTGGTACAATTAAATACTGACGTGTTTGCCGCGTCTTCAGCCCAAAGTCTCGAAGTCGCATGTTGTCCCCCTTGCTGGTTCATGTTAAGACAATTCTCTCAAGCCACCTGAGTTTCTTGGAGCCAGGTCAGCCTTTGAATCTCAGCTGAAAGCGCCTCCTTGATGGTCCTGAACTGATCACGTTCTGGACAAGGCACGAACCACTTCTTCAACCTGACAATTAGGAAATCAAACATGACCCGGTGGGGTCTGGGCTTGCCGACAGCCGCTGCGGTCCCAAATCTAGAACGAAAAAAACAACTGAGTTCGTCAGTCGCCTCCCACACTTTAGCAGCAGAAGTTGGAATGGTTTGATTGGAATTGCTGGTGACTGCACCGGCCACATGACGTCCGTCCACAAGAGGGTCCGATCTCCAGACTTCAGAGATCTCCAGACCATCCATCACAGGCCATAGCTTTATTCGGTGCACGGGTGCATCAATTCCAAAGAGCATCTCTGCCCACACCACTACAACATGGATGCACAAGAGCAAAATTGTCCACAATAATCCACGCCCAACCATAATGTCATCTTTGCAGCACAAACTTATCAACTCCAGAGCATGCATGCCAATGCCATAGCAATGTTCGTGCACAAGAGCGTCAATTCCGAAAAGCTACAACAACATTTTTGCTCCCGAGAGTAGGATGGCTCAGGGTTCAAGGAGCGAGTGTGGGTGGAATCGTGGCAGGATGGCCGAGTCTTCCCTTGTCGACTGATGAGGAGGATGAATTGGATCATCTGCCGCAGATTGATCATGGTACAGCCAACAACCCGCATCAAAGCACATTCGCATCAAGCAGGCAGAGGATAAGATTTCTCGAAGCAAATCATGCTAAGAAATCCGAAACGACGGCGCCTGTGGCGCCCCACGAAATCCAGCGCGCCAGTGCACTGGACAGTGGAAGGAGCCCCTTCTACAAACCTTCAACCTATACACTTGAGCCTTCTGGAACATGCAGGGTGCAGCCCATCCTGCTGTCGCACACACTCCGAAAGTGAGGCAACATGGCAGTTGCAATCATTCATTCACACAACTTATTGCAAAGGTTCGCTGGCTACGTGCTTCTGCACATGTCAATATCCGTCACAGCACAAGACAGCCACGCTTTCAGCACGCCAAGATTCGTCGAATTGACACAGAGTGCTGCTCACCAATCCTGGCTGTGCAGCAGTGGCTAGTACGTGTCTGTGGAGCCTGTTCTAGAAACAGCATCAAAAACAGTTGAAGCATTGCGCTGTCTCGGTGGCCGTCAAACCAGTTGGCAGGTGTTTGTGGAATTCTAGGTTCAAGCTTACTGGTAAGGAAGGCTCGGGCGGTTTTGACATGCCAGGGCTAAACCATCCCGCGAACCTCAACCTCTGAAAATGATTACAGCAAGCAAAGCTCTTCACTTACTGTCGGACACTGCAGCGCTGACACCTTACCCTGCCGCTGTCTGAATATGACATATGGCTCGTTTGTGCAATGGACTCCTAGCACAGCAAACTGGTAGGTATCATCAATGGCACAGCAGCCTCAAGCAAGTCACAATGCCAGGCCTATGCCAAGAGCTAGGTAACCATTCAATCAGAGTGCAAGGCAGTTTCCGATGGTAAACAATGGAACCCGCCTCTGCGCAGCAAAGCGCGTCCTACGCGCGCCGCCGCGGTGGCGTGTGCTGCGGTAAAACGGAGGCGGGGAGCAGACCTCGCCGTCAAAGCCCGAGCAAAAACTCAGTAACTCAAACACGCCAGAAACTAGTTGCTTTGTACTGATGCAAGAACCAAACCCAAGTAACCAGGTCTCTACCACTCGGGACGTTGCCTCATGCAAAAATATCCAATGAACCTACAAGAAGTTGAGGTTGAGAACCACCTGCAATGAACATACTGTCAAAGGCCTGGTTGGGTTTACATCAACCTCCCCAGCTTTGCTGATCGTTTGATGAGATTGAAGCGACATGTCTCTTCTCGTTGAAGTACTCCAGGCCTTGCAGTGAAGGCTCACATCGAGAACTCGTCGCTCTCCAGCTCCTCCCACCTCTCATTCACACCTGCATCGCGCCGTTTTACAGTTCCCAAACACCAGAACCACCAGTATTTTGAGGTCAAAGAAGTTGTTTGAAATGGAGATGGCAGTGGTTCACATTCGTTGTCCCCCTTCCAAGTCCACGTCCGTGGCATTCCGTGGCGCTCCTTGTGCCTGGATGTGCGTCTGTGTCAGTATTCCCACTCAAGACTAAACCCCTTTCTGGTGTGCTGGCATGGGACCAACTCCACGTCCAGAAAGATTGGCTAAGCACAAAATCTTTGTATGCCCATGTGTCAAGCTGCAACAAAGGCAGGGCAAAACAGAGCACCAAGGCCTGCGAGAGATCAAGTCACCTACTGATCAGGCCTGTCTTCTTCATGGATGACTGGAACATGATGGTCTTCTCGTCATCCTGCGTCTTCCGGCATGCATAAGGAATTAGAAATGAGGATTCTGGAATATTCTGGATGGGTCTCAAGAAGGGCTCTACATCAAGCGGCAAGCCCCTGACTGTCACGCAAGAAAGTCTACCACATTCTTGCAGGAAGCCTCCTCCGCGTCTTCCATCATGGCGGCTTGAACCCTCAGGTGAGCACGAAATTGGAACGTGCTAGAGGAAATCGAAGCTTAAGGACCATTCTTCTAATGCCGCCTGATTGTTGAACCACGGGCTTCCTTACTCTTTACTTGGCGTGCCTGGCGTCCAGCACTTCGAATTCTCGTAATGACCTTCTCGTCCAACCCTGTAGAAGCAAGCCGTCACTCAGGTAGGACTCTGAGCATCCAGCTGTCTACCCGTCCTCCGTGGGCGCGTAACGGGCTTGGTCATTCCCACCCTGAGTGGCTTCGTTGGGATTAACTGGCATCATTCTGCGAACGCGGCAAATCCAAAACCAAGCACAGGTATGCAAGCATTGAATTTTCAGCTTTTCAGCTCAGCCAAACGCATGCGCATGTGCCTGTCTAAATGCTTGCGGCCCTACTACCTTCCATCAAAAGGGGTTGTAGGCAGTTCCGACTCAGACGGCCTAAGGTCGTCTTGTCTTTGACTCTCTCTCTCAGTGTTCTGCTGCATGAAGGAAGTCTCTTCCTCTTGGATGTCCCCATCGTCAATGAACATGGCACCTGTGTACTAACATCAGGCGAGACCTCAAACCTTGAACATTGCAGCTGTCACAGCAGTTAGTATCTGTATCAGCGATGTAGAGCACATCCCGGCACTTCTGCAGAGGCTGATATTCCACACTATGTCCAGAGGTTCGGTTCTGTTATAGGTTGAGATCGATGCTTTGTGTAGGTGACCAATCGTTTCCCGCTAATAATCATCTCCCGGAATCATAAATACCCATCTCAGAGAATCCCCAATTCCGGAAATTCCCAGAAGACTATTTTTAAAAAGGGGAAGCGGAATAAGGTTTGGGGAGGGAGGGGGGGGGGGTTCTGAGGTCATTAGGAACATTATAATCAGGAATCCCCTTGATTGCCTGATGGGTTTTGATTGTTTTCACATAGTTTTTACACAGGAAAGTACCTAAGCAATGTTGATTGATCTTATTGTGGTTTTGAATCGTTTTTCATCAGATGTCAGTGCATGTTACATAGACTTTTACTCCAAAATTCGATTTCAATTGGGCTTCATTGGGTTCTAGATATATGTTCATTCAATTATCACGATTTCCATTCGATTTTACAATTCGATGCTAATTGAATGTTTAGTGGATGTTGAATTAGGGTTTACCTAGATTGGACTTGATCGAATTAAGATCTTCACTGGAATGCAATTAGAATTCTATGGGTTTGAATTAGCTGCTAATCAGAATGAATTGCTTTCTTACGAATTGAATTGGACTTTACTACCATGTTGATTGGTTTCGATAGGAGCTTAATTGAGTTTAATGACGCTTTCATTGGATCCGACGTCACTTTAAGTAGGTGTTCATTGCTGGTATAACGAGGCTAATCAGCTTGTACATGGTTGTTACAATTTTAATTAAACCTTTGCATACCTTCTAGTCAGAGGTTAATTTGGTCCTGATTAGACTTAGCTGATTCTATTATTGATCTTAACTGATTTTAGTCAGATATTGTTTAATTTTACATAGATCTTAATTTAATTGATCCCCTATATTTCTTTCCATACTAAAAAAACCTAATAATGAATACTTCAAGGTATTCTTTATTAGGAAGAGTGAGGGGAAGACGTTTACTATTACGGGAAGGGATTATGTGTACAAACTCAGTTGGCCGCTTGAGGAAAGCAGCTCAAGGGTCGCGGGCCCTTTGGAAGTCTGGCCAGCACGTGCAAACGAATGCTCCTCGAGTTTTCTCGTGAACACTAGCAAGGGAAGATGTAAACCACGCGCATCAAACGAAGTTTGCCCCACCGAAATCCCAGTCCGTAATCGCCTATCTTGTGGCAGCCTTGTTTGAGGTCTTTGGCTGGCCCATTTTGAATTCTGCCGGCCTCCAACAGTGTTCTGCGACAAAAGCGCCAGCAGGAAAAGGATGGCCTGAGGCGTGGCGGCGATTTCGAGATGACAAAAAGTCACTCGGGTGGTGCGGAGCACTATGTGAGGTAAAAACCCCCGACTCATAAAGCCTGCTGCATCAGTGAGTGGACGCTGCATGCCACGACAAGTCATGTCACAACATCCACAATGAAATTGATGGGGTGCATGCTGTCTTCGAAAACACCCGCTTCGTTTGAATCGAAGGGTGTGAGCAGCAAGACGAATTTTGAATGGTGGACCCAATTCAGAAATGCAACGAGACACCATCGAAATCAGATTTGTGGAAGCCCTACTCCCCAAACCCCGGTCGGCATGCTTCCACCTCTTCTCTGCTCCCAAAACCCAGCAGGCATGCTCCCACCTCAAAAATGCCTTCTGCCTTTCTAAGACTTCGTTCACATGACTTGGGCCCCAACACACCTCGAATCTAGGATGGTCCTCATGATGAAAAGTGACAGCCCGCCTTGTGCATCATTACCACTATACTTGCAGGAGACTTGTTGCCTGGGCTGGGCAAAATTTCGCACGTACTTCGGATTTGGTGCGCGTCTGAGGCACCTGTGAGGCGGTGATTGTGGATCCCCACTTTGCGTTGCACTTGTGGGAGGAACTGGCTGAAGGCTTTGCTATCTTCAAAGAAGGGCACACCTGAAAGACAGAATTGACTGCTGGGTACTAGAATCACTTTCAGATGAAGATTTGACAGTTCAAGCATTCTTTGCGTACCGCGGTTGAGCCCATGCTCTCAACTTCTCTCCATACCCTGTCAAGTTGTCAATGGCAAACTGAGGCGCTGGCTAAGGTAAGAAGAATGGATGCAGTGCAGGGTTCTTTCTCTGACTAACTGCGCGGGAGGTAAGGGAATTCCCCCCTGGTTCAGCCAAGATGGCCCACAATAGTGGAAAGTGCAGCACAGTAGCAGCACAATGTCTCATGTAGCCACCAGGTAGGTTAAATACAACAGGCTCATGGAGCAGCCACTTTTCCGTTTCTAAGGGCTAGCGTCAGCCATGTCTGAAACAATCTCACTAGACGATTCTCGCTGTTCTCGGACTACCTCTGAACTAGCAACGTCTTGGTGTCTAGCCAATCACAAGGGCTCAACTCTTGAAGAATTTGCTACCGGCTTTGAGTAGTCCGTGACTGCGATTTCCGGAGTGAAGTTAGTCTTCTCTCGGATGCAGCCCATGGCTTCTCAGGCTTGGCTAATCCCCAGACCTTCTTGTGGGCCCAGCACCGCACGAAGAGCGCCGCCTACTGTACCTACATCCTACCGCTCCTGCAGTTCCCATCTTGAGAACCTTTGGGAACAACTTGCGTGACAGCAACCTTTCTGAACAACGATGTCTTCAGAGACAGCAGTGAAAATTAAATTTCAAAGTAATCAGCTCACAAGCCGGAGAGTTCCCGAAGCACAATTCTGGGGGAGCGACTCCTTCTGGCTCCCTCAGACTTGATGCGCTACAAGAATGCAACAACCTAGCAGTTGCTTTTAAAGGTAATATCCAAACAACGACAAAAAAGTAATGAAACTTGAAGTCTATAACGATAGCTCCGGAGTCTGAGCTTCAATTCCGGCCTGAAACATCCCAAACAGCAAAGCCTACAGTCTGACTTGAAGCTCTCTCAGTGAGATATGTAGGCGCTTGGGTTCACCCCCACAAGCATCTCGACATCCTGCGGGGGGGAAGCTTTCAGTAGCAGCGAAAGCGGGGCCAAGGCTGCAGTCCAGGGCGTGGTTCCATGTTTGTCTTTGTTCGCAGGTTGGAGCTCTTGGCTTGCTAACGCTACAAGGCGCTGCCGGGCACGAGTGCCACAAATTCTGTGGAACACGTTGGAGCAAACACCTCATGAGATGGGTGCACCGGGAATATAGTGTAGAGTGTAAACACAAAATTATGTCCGGGGTTGCAGCAATGTCATCAGTCGTGTCGCACGTGCAGCGATTTCAGCATTACGAAGTCGTTGTAGTGGGGGCCTTGTCAGTTCGGGCGTCCGCAGAGACTCCGCCGCCACCAAGAGTGTCATACCTGGCCGCATGGACCCTGAATCAAGTGGAAGCCAGAATCCTAGGCCTCTCAGCCAATGAATTTGTGAACTTATCAACGCGTGAAACCAACACCTCAATTTCTCCTGAAGAATGTTCGGGCATCTGCACATGCAACACTAACAAACGTCACGGGCCACCAGATGTAGTTGATCAAATCCTCGCCGGACAATCCTGCTGGAGTATTCGACATCAGCATGCAGTTCTGTCTCCCCTCAGAATGTGTCCACCCTGTATTTTTCGTGTGCAATCAGGCGTCCTAGCTCTGTGTGAATCTTGCCGTAAGCCGTCAGCTCAGCTTCGACATAGGCCTGCATGCATCTTCAAGACTGTTGAAAAAAAAGCAGATTTAGTGCTCTTCGAAGCAGGTTAGGCACACAGTATGCCACAATATGCCAGAAACTCATCGCCTCGATGATGGCAGCATCCGCTCGGCCGTTTTGCATGATGCGATGCTGGTCCCCAATCGCCTGGTCGTCAGTTGCTCTTCGAAACATGCTTTCACGCTCCTGGACAGGACTATGCTCATTGCTTGCTAGAATGTGCTAGATGTCATACTTTGATTTCAAGTTTCTTTGGAGCTCCCCTGAAGCCGCTGAACCTCTAGAAAGTGGAGAGGCGCCTCTCCCAACGCAGAATATGATGCAAGGGCATCTGCATCAGCTGCACGAGGAACCCCATTCATAACCTACCTACTAAGTCCCTCGTCTCTTCAAGTGGATAAATGTCTTCCGGAGGTATGCTCCGACTGGTCGCTACGATTTTGCTCCCTGTGCAGTCTGCATCGACCAACTCTGAGCCAAACGTCAGCTGCGCCTGCTGAATGGTGACGTTCGCCTGAGCCTGCGTCTGCTTTCATGAATGCCACATGTGTCCATGACTGCCATGGGTGAGCTTGCCCCAGCCACAGCAAGCAAACCCACATGTTTTGGAAGCATGATCACCTCTGAACCCTCAAGCCAAAACCTCCGCACTCCATTGCAAAGACTCAAGGCGACTCACTGCCTCCGCAATCTGCCGCGCTGTCTGGAACTCCACAATCTTTGCCGCCAAGGTCTGGCACAGCGCACAGGCTGAGTGGCGCAGCAGAAGCAACCCACGTTCGATCACAGCCAAAGTCTCCATGAAGGAGTCTGGCGACAAATGCAGCTACCGCAGCAAATTTCCGATGTAAAGCGGAACCTTCGTCATGATCGTAGGAATCCAATCCCAGCCACTGTAGAGAATCCACATCGCTGCTGCACGTAAGGATGAGGTGCTACTTCTTCGTGTTCGGGCATTGCCAAGATAACCCACTTAATGCACGGGTCTACACCGTGAAAAAAGCTGAGCAGGTTCTCCTGGACTCAAAAGTTTCTGACCTTGGACATCCTGGTGATGTTCTGCTTGCTCGTAGCAGCCGTCAGGATTGTCGTAGTGAACGCCTACAGGTCACACACAGGGCAAGAGGAGAGCAGAGGAGTGCAGATGCTGACAGCAGCGCATTTTTCTCAAGTCCCATTTACAGAAGAAGATCTTGCATTCGAGTTCAAGGCGCTTGCTGTAGGTTGGAAGCGCAATTCAAAGCGTCAGGAGCCAAAGCCAATCGCGAAGAGGCACAACACGATACTTAGTACAGCCAGTAAATGAGCCTTGCAGGGTTCAACACTCTCAAAAGTCATCTGCTTGAGATCTCCCCATTTAAGCTTTTAGCAGTAATTAGGCCCTTCTTTCGTACGGAAACCTCAGTTGCCTTTTCAAGTGCTGTTCAACCGCAGTTGCCTCTGGCAGGTCATCTTCCTGGATCTGCAGCGACTCCACCGTCGCGAAGAGGTGCTGCAAACATTGCCCAAATGTGCCAAATCAAGTATGCGCGTGCAAGGCTTGGGGCGCAGAAAATGGCTAGAAGACTGAATTGTAAGTTAGTGCAGATCTGCTGAAAATACATGACATGATGACATGGGCCGGGAACAAGCATGATTAGCATTCGCATGTGCAATCTTTCGTACAAATTATTCAATCGGGACATGGTTCCAGATTCGGCTGGGATGCATCCTTGCCTGGTTTGGATTCCTGAACCTTGCTCGTGCAAGTAAACGGCACATTTTCCTGAAGCATCTATCCCACATAAGCACAAATACTCCACCCGCCCGAATGCTCCCTTGATGCCAACGCTGGACAAACAGTTGGTTGATCAGTTTTGCAGCGCCAGAAATCTTAGCAGAGCCACTACCTCCTCTTGGATGCTGTTGCCACAGGCCTTCGAGAAGTAGTCATTGAGGTGCAGTCGCATATCCTCGTAAAAGGGTGGCAAATCGGCTTGCTGTTCGTAAGGCGATGTGGGGCACAATCAAGGCATGGTCTTTTGGCCTCAGCAATTTTCTGCTTCTCGTTGAAGAACTGATAAGCTGTAAACCTTACGTCACGATGAAAACAGGGCTTTTTGCAGCTTGATGTGCTGAGTCTTCTTCCTTTACATACTGGAAGACTTGAAGGGAACATGTTTTGTTTAAGCTCCAGGCTTCGTCGCAAGCTCAGTGATCATATGCATGCCTCACAACTCAAACACATGCAAACTCCACACTAATCCCGCGTCCAACATACACGCCACGAAACACCAGGCAAGTAAGGGCATGAAATCATCCAGACCAGAGAAACACCAAGTCGAGGTTCCCGGCTTTTACACTGACGCAATCTGCCTGTGAGCTTGAAGATTTGCTCATAGTCGCCGTACTGGTTCTCGTACGTGAAATAGAGGTCACGTATTCCTGGCTGGTCTTTGCAAGCTGCACACTGCACTCCGTGTAGCACGGCATGATGAGATCAGGTCCCTGGAAGATACAGCACCCACAACCATCCACAACCACGGCGATGCCAAAGCCTCTAACTACATCCTGAGTGTCTGGGTGCTTCCGGGCTGTCAGCGGAGGGCCTTCAAGATAGGAACCTTGAGCCCCCGGTGCCCCCGTCTCTGAGTGTGCGACTGTCTGGCATGAGACGGTACTGGAAGGCCAGGCCCAAGATTAAGGGCAGGCCATCCTTGGAAGACTCATTTCCAAGTGCCGATATGCAGATATCGTGGACCCATGCGGACCCGACAGCCCTGAGTGGTGGTCTGCTGTCCGACCGTCGAGCAGGTCGCGATGCACCTGCCACATCTGTCTCGCGGATGGTTCAACACAAAGCGTGCGGCAGGAATATGCTTTGAGTTTTTGAATCTTCTTCAACCACAAACTCCAGAAATCCACAAGGCTGCGTCAACCCATTGTACTACTCATGGCTAACTCAACACAAGTCCCCAGGAGCACGCTTTGCCTCTCAAATTTGAGGAAGATAATACCCAACATTCCTACAAGTCCTAACAGAGGCGTGGCCGTCACTGATAGACACGGAAAAGTATCAGCCCCTCGATCTCAGGTGGGCCGCATGAACCGAATCAAGCACTGGCTTGTGCCGGCCTGGTTATACTCCAGCGTCTGAATAGTCTTGGGATACCTTGCACCACTTGCAAGAACCACATCTATCACAGCACATGTCCCATGCCCCTATGCGTTGAGTCCTTGCCTCACCAAGTCAGTGAAGGGGCCAACGAATTTGAGGCCTCCCCAAGAAATGCCATGCAGCCACAAGGGCGGCGTGCAAAGATTACCGGCCTGGTGTGACGATAACTTCATCACCTATGGTCTGAAGCAACCAGTTGTACCTGGCAGCGGCTGGTAAGGTCGGACCTTCGGGGACAAACTTGTTGCAGTTGCCAAGTCACTTTAGCGCAACTTCCGTCGGCTGCAGCAAGGTAATGGACATGAACAGCAGCACCGCCTGTGGTTTCTTTTGTCTCGCTGGGGCTGTCATGGTGATCGGTAACTGCAACAAACTCCAGAAAATAGCTCGAAGCCATTCTTGAGATACTAATGCCTACCGGGGACAAGGTACCCCCGCTCAAGCTCTGAGGGCAGCAACGCTGCCGACGAACTGAGTCCACTGCAAGGATGCCAAGCACCAGCGTGCCACAAAACGCCAACGCTGCCATGTCCTGGGCAACCAAGTAAGACTCTTTGGTATCCGACCTCTGAAAGATGAAAGGCTGATGTCAGGGCTGCTTTCTGCGACGGACATGAAGCATACCAGTGCGCGAGCTCAAGGCTTCTGATCAGAGAGACCATATCGGAGTAACTGTTTCTCTGGTGTGGTTTCTTAGAACATTGTGGCTTGTCTGACAATTCTTCGAGAACCTTGGCTGCAAGGACCTCACAAAAATTGCATGTCCTCATGAAGGTAGCCTTAATGGAGTCTTTCGTTGCTCGGCAAATTGGAAAGGTTCCACGTTGCTGTAGATCTAGAGGGTACTGTGTCTGGTGACCAGCACCTGTCCCCAACTGGAGATGTCAATTCAGCATTTTCCGGAATCTTGGCACCTGGGCTTCTGGCTCTAGCCGGCCTCGCTGGCAGCTCTGGAAGACAGGCGCTAGTTAACGTTTCATCCAAGGTGTCGTTGGCGAACGGCTTATTTCGGAGACCATGCAAGTAGTTCCTTCAGTAAAAGTATAGGACTGGAAAACTCACAATTAATGCCTTGCACCCCGTTGACAGCTGAAAGGGCGGCAATACCGGGTGAGGTTGAAACTGAACTGGGCTCATAATTTGCACACCTGCTTGTGTCAGCACTAGGGATTCTACGATTTCTCAGCTGGCGAGCAAAAGACGCAGAGCCTCCCCGTTGCACAACGCACTGTCGAAGCGAAATTCTTTCACTTGCAAAATTCCTGAGCCTCAGTCTTACCTGCAGAAGTCCGTCCGTGAACAGCACATCCTTCAGCACCTCCTTACCAGCGTCCTCTTATGTTCACAAGAACCACAAGATGAGCAGAAAAAAAATAGAATTACTCAAGATCTGAGGGTGACAGCTGCCAAAAAAAACACTGAACTACAGAGCAGGTTCGCTCTTGCTTCAATCCATGCGAAATCCTGCTCGATTTTCTCGCTTGGAGCCTGCTCAAACTATGCCGCGATGCTTGCGAAGAAGGGTCGAGTCCTGGATGCGGAGCCAGCAAAATTTAGGGCTGGGATTTAGGCCGCATCGCATGTCCACTGAATTCTAGTGGGATCTCCCAGAGACACCCTGATGCTCTTCCTGGATACCCTGAATGAGCTAGCAAGTACTTTTTCTGCAGCGAATGCCCTACATTGCAAGACCACTGGAGCCATATTAACATATGCTGAGAACCCGCATGTCTTCTACTTCTCTTGCAAACAGCAGTAGGAGGGCACCCGGGGCCATCGCATCAGGAAGCTGTGCAACTTGGAGAGGAAAACCTCATTCTAAGCTAGAACTTAGCCCAAGGCTTGAGTTGACTAGCTACGATGGACTGCAAAAGTGCGTTGTAGGACAGTCCAGATGCCAAATCGCCAAAGTTCTGTAGCAAGGATGCTTGAAACGAGCTTCGTAAGTATCCCCTTCATATCAAGCAATTACGTCGAATGTATGAATGAACAATCGGCAAGCAACAGCTGCAAAGGCAGACAAGCTGCCAGCAAACACAACTCGGGGCTCGACCGGACATTTTGTCAGGTCATCCCCCAATCGATAGAGCGGATTTTTGATCACGTACTCTACGAAGATGTCAGTGTAGATCTGTCTGAGACATTCCTTCGCACGTTCATGCAGAATACGCAGCAGATAGCAACTTGCCATACAGTTGCACACTCACTGCAGATTGTCACAGTCATTGTGCTGGGATGCTTGCCTCACCTCAGGAGGAAGGAATGAGAGACCTTCGTAAGCCTACCTGAGGTCCAATGAGGCGGACCTAAGCAATCACCTTCAGGTACTAGCAGCAGCGACTCAAAGTCAAAAATCAGAACTTAAGTGCCACCCCAATTGTTACTCTTCCAGGCACAAGAAGGATGCTAATGTACCATAGCCTAGATGTTCTACTATTGACTGCTGCTGCATGTCGGAAACTCCTAGAGCGACACCTTGTTTAGACAGAGCGACCCTGTCTAAGCACCTCAACGCTCAGCAACACCCTATGCAATAAAGTATAAAGTGGTGGAGAGAGAGAGAGAGAGAGAGAGAGAGAGAGAGAGATACAGAGAGAGAAAGAGAGAGAGAGAGAGAGAGAGAGAGCAATACTGGCCCTCACTGTTCACGAATGACAATGTATCTCATGGTATCTCATTGAAGGGCAGCGCTACTGAACGTCGCTTCTGTGACATTTCTCAGTGCACACTAGACTCATGAACTCATGTCCTCTGCAACCCGGCTTCAATCCTCAACCCTGAGCCCGGTGGCTGCCTGTTGGTCTGAGACCGAAGGGTCAGTTGTCAACACAAATCGGTACCTGGAAAGATTGCAGCGCTCCAGGCACACAGGATTCCACATGCACATGTGCGGATCATTCACGACTCGACTGGCAAAGAGCGCCGTTGCTGTTTCAGTGTCCATGTATAGCAATGTAGCAATGTAGCAGCTGCCCCTAGGTCTGCAGGACTGGAGCCTGAGCCCTCCATACCCGACAAAGGTTGCACCCTGAGATGGTCTCGAAGGAATGCAGCTTGTACCTGCAATGTGCTCTTACATGTCACTTCAGTCGCCCCTCAAGGGTGTCAAGCGTGAGGCCCAGGCCAAGGAACAAGTATGACATCTGCTGCTGTTTTTCGGTTAGTGTTGAGTTGTCTTGCATCTGCGACGCGTTTGCCTGAATACATGTAATGCTTGTTTGGTTTCATAAGCCTGCAAGAAGCATCATTGGTGGGATTCTGCACTTCTGGACATCAATGCTGCGAAACCCGGACGGTCAACATAATGCATTGCCTTAAAAGTGTAATTAATGTTCATCCGAGTTGTTGTCGGGCCTGCGACGCCCACCCGTACAAAAGGAGCTGAACAATCGAGCTGCCGGAAAGTAGCACAATGCACAGCTGTCTGGGTAATGCCAAAAGCCCGCATCCTCAGAGCGCACTGCGGTGTGGTGTAAGAGAGGAAGGCTTGCGTTGTTGGAGGACCAAGCTGCCTGAGTCCAGGGGAGTCAAATGCAAGCCCCAAATGCCTCACAACAATGCATGCACTAATTCTGCAAGACCTAGTTCAATGCCAGCTCGCCACTTTCGCTGTCAACATGTGTGAGCCCTGCGGATAGAATGCTGAGAGGTGCATACAACCACCGCTGCAGCAATGCGTGCGTTACTGAGAGATGGGCTGTGCAAAGGACTTCAAGGTGATCAGCACTCCGCTGACATACTTTGTCTCCTGAAGGGATAAGGTACACAACGCGCAGAAAAGAAGAGACATGGTCATGGAACGACTGAAAGTTGCAGAATCAGAATTCAGTCTGAATCCTCAGCTTAAGCCCCCCAAGCATTTGGATGGTATCCTCCGCTACGTCGCGGCAAGACCTTGTGCGATTCCACTCCTGCAGCAGGACTGTTGAAACCTTCAAATTAGGACTTGTCACCTGATGAAGCACCTACATGCGGCGAAGTCCATCTGCATCAGGACTTGAATAAAAAATGGGTCCCCTTCACAGAAAGAAAGTTGTGTCCTTCTGGCATTTGTGAGGAAGCCTCTAATCCAAATCCTTGCTAAGCTAGGATTTAAGGAGCAGGCGACAAGGACCATGGTCCTCGCGACAAAGCAGTTTCCTCCCTCTCCCGAAGGCATAGAAGTTGTAGATCCTGAGACTTCTGCAGGAAGACAGCAGACTGCTTGATGAATGCTAGATCAGTCGCAGGAGCTTCCATACAGACTATGTCTTGCCTGGACAACTTTCTGCGGCTTCAGCAAACACGCATAATCAATGTGGATAGTTGCATGTATTTTGGAGGATTATTTGGGTGCTTCTTTCAGTGACTCAACCGCGTGACGAGAAGATCAGAACATGTCAGAACGGCGCTTGAAAGCTCTGGCCTCAATCCTGTTCAGGTACACCCATACTGGGACGGACGTCAAATATCCCAAGCTGTGGCAGTGGCACAAAGACACCTAGAAACTAATCCGTTGATTGAACCTGTTCCTGGTGTTCCTGGTGAAGTGGCCCACTGTCATCTGCAGTTGAGCGGCATCAGAGAGCAGAAATGTCCTTGGCCGCACAAACTAGTGACACCCAGAACTCACTCTTCAAAAGCTACACATATAGCTAAAGCTTACATGATAAACCGTTGCCAGGAAGTATAACAAGGCTTTGCTGACTGGTGTCAGCGCGCGTTCTTGCGATCGCAAGGCTTTCACGGAAAATAAGATGATGCTGAAGCACACGACCTTCTTGCATTCAAGAATCTCCTGCCGAGTCAGCAGTGCCCGGAAGTCTGGAGGCTGCTCTGTATGCTGTGTTGATCAGCTTGCTTCAGGGCCGCTCCATGAAGAGTTCTTCCGTCTGTCTGTTGATCTTCACAACCGCTACTCAAGCACAAATTTTCTGCCGATAGTCAAGAGAAACAGAATCCAGTTGCCCTTGAGGCAGGGTTGTAGTTGCAAGGAGGGGCTCATAGTCCAGTTGCAAGTTTTCGGCTCGCCAGCTCCACCTTACATGGTCATTTCGGCATGCTCCATGAATCTTGTATTTTGCACTGTTGCATCACTACAAAGGCAGCTTGAGCAACATAGCTGAGCTGGAGGCGCTGCAGGCATGCGATGCATAGTGCTCACGCGTCCGAAGGGTCCGAGGCAGAGCAGACTATCAAGTATCAAAAGCCAATTTTGCGCAGCGGATTTCCAACTGCACCACACCTCAAAGAGAATCTCCCTGGGTTCAGCAGAATCCTGCATGAAGGATCTGCAGAATGCTTGGTCCCCGAAGCTTTGCATCTCATGTCAGACTTAGCCAACGGCTGGCAATGCCTGTCATCAGAATCTTACGCCTGTGTAATCAATGCACTCGATTTCCAAGAGGCTGCCACCAGAGATGAGGTGGTCCATATGCGACACAGCACGGCGAATCATGCCCTAAAATGAGGGTGCCACGCTCTGGGGAAAGGCACCTTTTGCTAAAAGGCTGTGACATTGGCACAACTTTGGGCATCTCCGTGGCAAAA